ATGCTACAGTTAAAGGGAAAGATAGATTCATTAAACACCACATCTCTGGAAATGTAAATCTTTCTAGTGGCCAGGTTCAGAACTTTGTACCCCTTTGTGTTGAAAGGATACCCAACAAAGACATGAGGGGCAGTCCTGGGATTGAACTTGTCCCTATGTGGTATTGGTATAGTGGGATAGCATAAGCATCCAAAGCTCTTGAGATGAGAGTATTTTGGTTTCCTCTTATACAACAACTCATATGGGGTTTTATTGTTTATGGAATTGGATGGCAATCTGTTTATTATATATGTAGCACAGAGGACACATTCACCCCAATATCTTAGAGGTAATTTGGATTGGAAAAGGAGGGCTCTAGCTGTTTCAAGAAGGTATTTATGTTTTCTTTCTACCACACCATTTTGTTGTGGTGTATATGGGCAAGTTCTTTGATGAATGATTCCTTTGGACTGAAACAATTTGGTTGCTTCTCCACTGGTAAACTCTAGTCCATTGTCTGATCTTATGGACTTGATTTTGATACCAAACTGGTTTTCCACCAAGGACATGAAGTTTTTAAGAATATCAATAACATTACACTTGCTGGACAAAAGATGTGTCCATGTAGATCTGCTATAGTCATCCACTTTGGTGATAAAGTACTTGTGTTTATCATGTGTAGGGATATGATATGGACCCCACAGGTCAACATGCAAAAGCTCAAATATTTTGTTAGATACACTGGTTTTCTGAGGAAAAGGTAATCTTTCTTGTCTAGCCATTGGGCAAATGGTACAGGTAAAGGGTTGTTTAGGAGAGAAATTAGCAGGAATGGAAGTAATCCTTTTCATCTTCACAAAGGGAACATGTCCAAGCCTGTTATGCCACAACACATTTACATTATTTTCAGTCCAAGATTGAGNCATAGGTCAACATGCAAAAGCTCAAATATTTTGTTAGATACACTGGTTTTCTGAGGAAAAGGTAATCTTTCTTGTCTAGCCATTGGGCAAATGGTACAGGTAAAGGGTTGTTTAGGAGAGAAATTAGCAGGAATGGAAGTAATCCTTTTCATCTTCACAAAGGGAACATGTCCAAGCCTGTTATGCCACAACACATTTACATTATTTTCAGACCAAGATTGAGAGAAGAAACCGGGCAATTCAGAAGATACATCCTCAAAATGAACATGTTTACTAGCACTTGCACATGAATTATTTACAATGAGAGAGGGAAGAGAGACACACTTATTGGTGTGGACTGGTACATTTATAGTAGAATGAGTTGGACAGTGTGTGTCACAAGTGCAACAACTAGAAATGATAGGAAGTCTAGAATTGTCCTTTTCTGCAAGACTTGCATTGTTTTTCTTTAAGCAACTTGGGCATAGGATGTATAGCCCATCATTCACCTTACCAATTACCAGAGGCCTCTTCATTGAAGGGGCCTGCAACACACAACAGAGATTGAAGAAGGCAACAATACAACTTAAATGAGAAGCTAAAGAGTGAATAGAGATTAGATTGTATCTGAAAGTTGGAACATACATCACTTTATCTAGAGTGATCTTAGAATTGAGAATTACACTGCCTATTTCTGTCACCTTTACTTTATAGCCATTTGGAAGTATGACCAGTAAAGGATAAGGTAGGTTGATTATATTGGTTAATAGGGATCTGTTGAAGGTCATATTATTTGATGCCTTTGAATCTATAATCCATGAGTCAGCTTTGTTCTTGAAACATTCACATGAAAGTTTGCCAAAATCAATTGAGGAGGTACAAGCTACCATACCTGCAAAGTTTGCTGTTCCTGAAGTAGCATTGGTACCACCTCCATGATCTCCTATCCCAGATGACTGAAATTGTTGTAGCAGGGTCACCAACTGATTGTACTCTTCCTTGGTAAGGCTCACATTCTGAGGATTGTCATGACAAACATATCTATTCTGACTATCATTCTCTGCAGGTTGAGATTCAGTGGCTACCACATGTGCATTGGCTAGGGTCCTGTTGCCTCTGTTGAATCTGTTGGCACTATTGTTGTTGGAACCTTGCCTTGTGTTTTGACTGAAACTGTTTTGTCCTGTGTTTGGATTCTGATTGTGACCAAAATCCTGTCCAAAATTCTATGGATATCCATGAAGCTTGTAGCATTTCTCTTTAGTGTGTCCTGGCCTCTTACAGTAGTCACAAAAAGGTCTGTTTCTGTTGTTATGATTGTTGTTGGGAGAGTAATTTGTCCTGAATGTGTTAGGTCTGGTTGTGTTGGCATTCAAAGCTGATGATTCCAGTACCAGATGGCCAGTGGGCTTGATTTCCCTCTGCCTTTCTTCTTGGATTAACAAAGAAAAGGATTGAGCAATTGAGGGAAGAGGATTCATCATCAATATGCTCTCTCGAACAACAATATATGTCTCATTTAATCCCATAAGGAATTGTATGAGCCTCCTATCCTGCTCTGCTTTATGCATACTTTCCTTAGCCCCACACGAACAGTTGCAGGTACAATGAGATTTAGTAATCAAAGTATTGAGCTCCTCCCATAGTTTCTTCATTTTCGTATAGTAACTGGTAATATCAAGTGATCCTTGAGACAGATCATTGATCTCCTTCTGAATTTGATACAACTTTGTTCCATTTGTTTGATCATATCGATCCTCAAGTTCTCTCCACAATTCAAATGCATTAGCTACGTATTCAACACTATCTGCAATCTCTTTAGTCAAAGAGTTTAAGATCCATGATGTGACCATGTCATCACACCTCTCCCATAAGCGAAAGTTTGGAGAATCTAGATCTGGTCTTTTACAGTCTCCGTTAATAAATCCCAATTTATTCTTCACAGACAATGCTCGCATCACACTTCTTCTCCATGATCGATAACCAAAGCCATCAAAAGGAGTAGGGACTAGGGCTGCCCCAGGATTGTCAGATGGATGCATGTATAGAGGATTACTAATGTCAATGCCCGATTGACTCAGAGGCTCATTCACAGTTGGTACTGTTGGATTATCGTTCTCATCGGACCTCATACTTGTGAATTACAGAGAAATCTAAGAAACTTTGATATCTAAAAATATAAGATGAATGAAATTTAACAATGATTCTCAGAGAATTGTGAATCAGAAGTAAAACAAAACCTGTTCTCAAGCTATATCTCGAAATTCATGGAGAAATGAATCTGTATATGTGCGATTAGGTTTGAACGATCATCAACAAAGGGAGAACCAACAGATCTCGTGAATTGAATCTAAAATCGAAGCTCCCGCTCTGATACCATGTCAAGAAATCAGTCAATGGAGCAGCAGTTAAGCTTCTACCATTATCTGAAGCTGTGCTTCAATGGAAATGAAGCTGTGGATCGTCCACCATGAGAGCCCAGAGAGAGAGAGAGAAGAGAGAGAACGAGAGAAGGTTCTAGAATTTGTGTAATTTCTGACTAATTAAATTAGAAAGAGTGAGTGGAGACTCCACTATATACAAAGCTAAGACTAAGCTCTAAGCTAAGACAATTAACTAACAACTGCTAAGCTAACTGTACAGCTGTCATAATAATAAACTAACTAAGAGAATAATTATAGTTCTTAACAGCATCAAAGTTAGTATTCTTCAATTCTTTTCTCTCTATGCTTCTTTTTAATAGGCAAAACCATTTTGGACCGTCTTTTCAGTACATGCCGTCGCCAAATTTGAAGCCTTCAGTTATTTGGCTTCAATTTCTTGCAGATTTGATCACAAAATGGAAAAGAAGCAATTTTTCCCAATAATTGGAGCAAAAGATCAACATTTGTTATCATTAGTTGGTAACTTCATCCTTCTCCCCCTTTCTTCTACGCTAAAACTTTTTCAGATCTACTTCTATTTACTTAACTTGAACTATTGGAACTAAGACACTAACACAAACTTATGAAGTTGGTAAGGTTTCTAAACCAATACTAGCTATCTTAGATTAATTGCTAATTGTTTCTACTTTCTTACCATTTAATTAATATTAGTCAATTTTCTTTTTGTGTTTTCTTAATTTTTCCTTTAGATTTCGTTTTTCTTCTGTAATCACCCACATAGATTATTTAGTCTTGCTGTTTCTTCAATGTACTTTTTCCTATTTTGTGCCTTTTGTTGGTGTACTGGAATTTACTCTAGGTTGGTCTACCAGATTAACTACAAATAGAGGCGGATTGTGACGACCCGGCCAGTTGTCTCATGAGTTACCGCTCTGTTTTCCCCATTTATGCTTTTTTATGCTTTGTTTATCTGTGTTTGTGGTATGGGGTTGGTCGGATCAAATCCAGAATAATTTTAGTAAGGTTTGAGATACTTAGTCTCTTTTAAGAAAGCTTAAGTTGGAAAAGTCAACCGAACGTTGACTTATGTATTAGAGGGCTCAGATGTGAGTTCCAATGGTTCGGTTAGCTTCGAGGGTGATTTGTAACTTAGGAGCGTGATCAGAAGGAATTTTGGAGATTTGTAGTAGATTTAGGCTTGAATTGGCGAAGTTGAGATTTTGGCGATTTTTGTTTGGTAGGCAAGATTTTGATATAGGGGTTGGAACGGAATTCCGAGAGTTGCAGTAGTTCCGTTGAGTGATTTGGATGTGTGTGCAAAATTTCAGGTCATTCGGACGTGGTTTGATTGGGTTTTTGATCAAAAACGGAATTTGGAAGATTTTTGAAAGTTTGGCTTGAATCTGATGTGTTTTGGGTGATTTGATGTTATTTGAGGTGTTTTGATGAATGGAACAAGTTTGAATAAGGTATTAGGATATGTTTGTGCTTTTGGTTGAGGTCACGGGTGCCTCGGGGTGATTTCGAAAGGTTAACAGGAAGTTTGTATTGTTGTTGCAGCTGCTGAATTGCTGCTTCTGGTATTTTTGCACCGGCGGATTGGGGACCGCAGGTGCGGCACCTCATATGCGAGAGAGCGGCCGCAGAAGCGACCAGAGGTATTTTTGACTGGGATCACAGAAGCGGCTAGGAGAACCGCATCTGCGATGTCGCAGATGCGGGCGAGAAACCGCAGATGCGTATGGTTGGGAACTTAAGTGATTCTGCAGAAACGGATGTTGAATCGCAATTGTGGTACCGCAGAAGCGGGTATGGGGCCGCAGATGTGAAAAGTTCTGGGCAAAAAGTATAAATTGTCTTCTTCGCGAAATTTTGCTAAGTTTATCATTTTTGAAGACGGGAAAGAGGCTAAGGCATATGATTTCGAGAGGAATCAAAGGATATCAGTTGGGTAAGTTCCCTAAGATTAATTAATTGGGTTTAAGATCACATTTCCATTATTTAATCATGGTTTTAGTGGAGATTAAGGAAGAAAAATTGGGGATTAAGGCTTTAGATTAAGAGACCTTTAAATGGGGATTTGATGGGTCATTTGGACTTCGATTTCAGTGTTCTTGATATATATAGACTCATGGAAGGATAAGGATTCCGTTGATGTAAAAAATTATCGAATTCCGAGATATGGGTCCGGAGGTCGGGTTTTGGTAATTTCGGGATTTGTGCCATTTATTGATTGTTTTCGCTTGGGATTCGTTCCCTTGGCATATTTTGACGTCCTCGTTCTGATTTTTGGATAGATTCGACGCGAGTGGAGTCTGATTCGAGGATAGATTTGACCGTTTCGAGGTGAGTAATGATTGTAAATGATGTTTTGAGGGTTTGAAATCTCGGATTTCACATCGTAATGCTATATTGAGGTGAGACACACACTTGATGACGAGCATGGGGTCTTGCACTATTGGGGATTGTGACTTGGTCTGTCCCGATTGATGATTTTACCACATATTTGACTAAAATCTATTTGTTATCATCATTATTTGGGTTGAATGTCATATTTGGGCCTTGTGCCAACTATTTGAATCCTTCGGGGATTTTTACTAGTATTTCCTCACTGTTTTAACTTTATACTTGAACTCAGTCATGTTTTATTTCACTATTTTTCTTACTCAGTCATGTTTACTCTGTTTTAACACTTACATGATCTTTTAAATGATATTTTGGGTTGAGAAACATGTTTTACTACTGCCCGAGTGGCTTGTAAGGATTTTTGACTGAGTGAGGCCAAGGGACTAGGTTGTGAGGAAATATTCGATACTGATTATAAGGCCGAGGGCCTGAGATATGTATGCCATGAGGTGGCTTGATTGATATGAGGCTGAGGGCCTAATGATGATGCCACGAGGTGGCTTGATATTGCGCTTGGGCCGTAAGGGGTCCCTCCAGGAGTCAGCAAACCCCCAGTGAATACGGGTACTCATTGCGATGTGAGATTGAGCCCGAGGGGCTGGTATTGTTCTATGTGATTGCCCGAGGGGCTGGTACTGTTCTGAGATGTTGCCCGATGGGCGGATTTATTGATACTGTGCCCGAGGGGCGAGCCTTTATGTGTTTATTTTTCATATTTGATTGTCAATTACCTGCTTAAGTATTGAAAAAGGCTTTTCATGGAAAACACATTTGAGCTAAAGGATTTTACCTATCTTTCACTAATTTTAAATGGTTTTACTGCTTCATTATAAAATGCTTTGTGCCTTACATGATTTCTTACTTTTAGTCTTTATTTACATTTGTTACTCACTAAGTTGGAGTATTCACTTTACTTCCTACACCCCTGTGTGCAGATTCAGGTGTTGCTGATCCCGCCAGTGCGAGTTGAGAGCTCTGGGCGGACATTCGGAGTTCATGAGGTAGCTGCTTGACGTCCGCAGACCCGTGTTTCTCCCTCTTTATCTTTTTTTATCTCTTATCAGACGTTTGTAATAGTTTGTAGATTTTTCAGACTTGTATTAGGTTCTATAAATACTTATGACTAGTGACACCCCGATATCGGGTTGTGTTGGGTTGTTCTTCCGCGTATTTACGACATTACCTGCTACTTTGGATTATTTTATCATGTTTCGACTGTTTCTTAATGCTTAACTATTAATAATTGGAAAAAGAAAAAGTGTTAGTTGGCCTTGTTTTCATGAGAGGTGCCATCACGACCGGGTTCGGGTTTGGGTCGTGACAAGTTGGTATCAGAGTCTAGGTTACATAGGTCTCACGAGTCATGAGCAGGTTTAGTAGAGTCTCGCGGATCGGTACGAAGATGTCTGTATTTATTCTCGAGAGTCTGCAGAACCTTTAGGAAAAATTTCACATTCTTGAATTTTTATCGTGCGTCCTTAATTCAGCTTGAAAAGTAACTCTTTGAATTCCTTCCACGCGTTTGTATGCGTGAATGAGTGCTCGGTATCGAATATGCATCGATGGCTTGTGATTCCCTGATCGAGGGGTGAGATGTGATCTCTGTGCGTTGATGTTGGTCAAGTCTGGAGGACTTGAGGCCAGATTTTTGCCTATAGCTTGAGCCCTGAGCTGTTCATTTTGTGAGCGCGTGTTTCTGGATCCATATGTTATGTTGTGTCCCTATTAAGGGAGGTGATGACTAGATATTTACGTGATGAGTGTGATGTGACTGCGAGATGTATTCATGTGATTTAGAAGCGACGAGAAGGGTCTGCTAGAGGATAGGAGGACTATTAGGTGCTTGATTTTCATCTTGATTTGAGGTATAGCACCGAGTTTTGGGTGTGTGAAGAATCTTTCCATGTTTCCTAGTTAGGAGTGGAGTAAATTCCATATTGCGGTCTGAGTTCAGACTCAGGAAGTTTAAGTGACTGCGTAATGTTTATGATGGTGGAAGGTATACTGAAATGTTAGTTGGAGGCAAAGTAGGTGGGGTTATCTCCTGCGGATTGTTCTGAAGTTTGCATAATCCCTTGTGTCATTTATTGGAAGATCTCTATTACCAGGGAAATATATGTTTTACAATTTGAATTTGGGTTGCTCAAGAGAGTAAGCTTGACTACTACGAGAGTGGATGCAAGATTTGTAGAAGATATAAAGTACCAGATGGTCTGTGTTCCACGAGCTTATGAAGGATTGAGTTTAATCTCACTATGGTATTAAGGCAACAATAAAGTATATGCATTATGAGTTATTGTGTATGTTTTGGTCTATGGCTTCGAGCCAAGTGGGGGAGTCCACTATTAATTAGTCGATTGCATGGTTATATGCTATGTTGGTTCCAATTTGAGACGTACGGGTGAATCAGTCATCAACTTTAGCGCCAGTTACTTCACTACCACCCGCCCAGACAGCTAAGGGTCGCCCTAAAGGGGGAGGTCGATCAAGTGGCGGTCAGGCCCGATTCTATACACTTCTAAGCAGACTAGAAACTATTGCTTCAGATGCTATTATTATAGGTATTATTTCAGTCTGCCATAGAGATGCCTCTATATTATTTGATCCCGATTCTACCTTTTCTTATGTGTCATCTTACTTTGCTCGTTATTTGGGTATGCCCCGTGAGTTTCTTGCTTCACCTGTTTATGTATCTACCCCGGTGGGCGATACTCTTATTGTAGACCGTGTGTACCGGTCGTGTATGGTGACTATTGGGGGGTCTGGAGACCCGTGTGGATCTTTTATTATTGTGTATAGTGGATTTCGATGTCATTTTGGGCATGGATTGGCTACCTCCATGTCGTGCTATTCTGGACTGTCATGCTAAGATAGTCACACTAGCTATACTGGGTGTGCCACGGATTGAGTGGCGAGGTGTGACTGATTATGTTCCCAGTAGAGTGATCTCATTCTTGAAAGCCCAGCGTATGGTTGGGAAGGGCTGTCTTTCCTATCTAGCCTTTGTGAGGGATGTCAGTGCTGAGACTCTCAGTATTGATTCTGTTCCAGTTGTGAGGGATTTTCCTGATGTATTTCCTGCAGACCTGTCGGGCATGCCACCAGACATAGATATTGATTTTGGTATTGACCTGGTGCCGGGCACTCAATGAATTTCTATTCTTCCGTATCGTATGGCACCAGCGGAGTTGAAGGAATTAAATGAGCAACTTCAAGAACTCCTTGATAAAGGGTTCATTCGGCCTAGTGTGTCACCTTGGGTTGTGCCGGTTCTATTTGTGAAGAAGAAGGATGGCACAATGAGGATGTGCATTGATTATAGGCAATTGAACAAAGTAACAATTAAGAACAAGTATCCTTTGCCTCACATTGATGATTTATTCGACCAGCTTCAAGGAGCGAGAGTGTTCTCCAAGATTGATCTCTATTCAGGTTATCACCAGTTGAAGATCAAGGACTCGAGTATTCTTAAAATAGCTTTCAGGACCCGATATGGTCATTATGAGTTCTTGGTGATGTCTTTTGGGCTGACCAATGCCCCAACAACGTTCATGCATTTGATGAACACTGTGTTCTGGCCTTATCTTGACTCGTTTATCATAGTCTTCATTGATGATATTCTGGTATATTCACGTAGTCAGGTAGAGCACGCGGAGCATTTGAGATTTGTGTTGCAGAGATTGAGGGAGGAGAAGCTTTATGCAAAATTCTCCAAGTGTGAGTTATGGCTCAGTTCAATGGCTTTCTTGGGGCATGTGATGTCCAGTGAGGGTATTCAGGTTGATTCAAAGAAGATAGAGGCGGTTCAGAGTTGTCCAAGACCATTCTCAGCCATAGAGATTCGCAGCTTTCTTGGTTTGGCAGGCTATTATCGTCGTTTTGTTCAGGGATTCTCATCTATCGCATCGCCTTTGACCAAGGTGACTCAGAAGGGTGCTCCATTTGTATGGTCAGACGAGTGTGAGGAGAGCTTTCAGAAGCTTAAGACAGCTTTGACCACCGCCCCAGTGTTAGTTTTGCCATTAGCTTTAGGTTCATATACCGTGTATTGTGATGCTTCGAGAGTTGGTATTGGTTGTGTTTTGATGCAGGAGGGTAGAGTTATTGCTTATGCTTCTCGTCAATTGAAGCCCCATGAGAAGAACTACCTCGTTCATGATTTGGAGTTGGTTGTCATAGTTCACGCGTTGAAGATTTGGAGACATTACTTGTATGGTGTGTCTTGTGAGGTGTTTACTGATCATTGTAGCCTCCAGCACTTGTTCAAACAGAAGGATCTCAATTTGAGGCAGCAGAGATGGTTGGAGTTGCTTAAGGATTATGATATCACTATATGGTACCATCCGGGAAAGGCCAATGTGGTGGCCAATGCTTTGAGCCGAAAGGCGGTGAGTATGGGGAGTTTGGCATATGTTCCAGTTGGGGAGAGACTTCTTGCAGTTGATGTTCAGGCCTTGACCAATGATTCATGAGATTAGGTATTTCGGAGCCTAGTCGGGTATTGGCTTGTGTGGTTTCTCGGTTTTCCTTATATGATCGCATCAGAGAGTGCCCGTATGATGATCCACATTTGCTTGTCCTTAAGGACAGAGTTCAGCATGATGATGCTAGAGATATGACCATTGATGATGAGGGGGTGTTGAGGATACAAGGTCGGATTTGTGTTCCCAATGTGGATGGGCTTCAGGAGTTGTTTCTAGAGGAGGCCCATAGTCTTGTTGTTTCTTCAATGTACTTTTTCCTATTTACTGCTTCATTATAGAATGCTTTGTACCTTACGTGATTTCTTGCTTTCAGTCTTTATTTACATTTGTTACTCACTAAGTTGGAGTACTCACTTTACTCCCTGCATCCCTGTGTGCAGATTCATGCATTGCTGATCCTTCCAGTGCGAGTTGAGAGCTCCCGGCGGACATTCGAAGTTCACGAGGTAGCTGCTTGACGTCCGCAGACCCGTGTTTCTCCCTCTTTATCTTTTCTATCTCTTATCAGACGTTTGTAATAGTTTGTGAATTTTTCAGACTTGTATTAGGTTTTATAGATGCTCATGACTAGTGATACCCCGGTATCGGACTGTGTTGGGTTGTTCTTCTGCGTATTTACGACATTACCTGCTACTTTGGATTATTTTATCATGTTTCGACTGTTTCTTAATGCTTAACTGTTACTAATTGGAAAAAGGAAAAGTGTCGGCTGGCCTTGTCTTCACGAGAGGCGCCATCACGACCGGGTCCGAGTTTGGGTTGTGACAAGGACCCAGAATTTTTACGCGATGGGATACATTATTCTGCTCAACCAGTGCCCCCTAAAGGCTTTTAGTGTTCAGGGTGTCAACTGCTTTAAATAAATATATATATATATATATATTTCATCCGAAGTTTACGGGGTCCGGTGACTCCTCACCCATACACATGGGTCCGCCTTTGACTACAAATGATATATGGAGAACGAAAGTGAAGGAAAATAAAAGTGGTCTTAGAATAAGTTTTGGAAAATTTTGATGAAAATAGTCATCTAAAAACAAAGTGGTTCTTAGAGTTTGTAAAAAGGTGGATGGTCAGTTATGTTGAGTTATGCATTATAAATTTGAGATACATTTTTTGGATAATGGGTTAGTTCTTATAGGACATATAATGGGTTAATTGTGGATGCAGAAAAAAGTACAAGATGGAGAGATTCGAAGCAATATGCACTGATTATATGTAGAACTTGATTTGGATACATAGTTAACCATGAAAATGGCATGAAGTTTCTGCTTTAGTCAAGAAACCATGAAAAATCATGTTCTATCTTGAGTCTGATATCTAGCAACACTATCAATAACAATATTCTGGAAAATTCACGTTTTTACGTGTAGTTCACTAAGACCTTTCACTTTGGACTTTATTTTGTGCAGTATTTTTATTTATCATTCGCTCTGCTATAGACAAGGATTTCAACTCAATTGGAATAACAAATTATCTCAGACATATGAGTTGGCAGATAAGTGCATGCAAACAAACTATTATGGTGTGAAGAGGATGATTGAAGCATTTGCACTTTTCCAATTATCTAAGTCTCCAAGGGTTGTGAATGTTTCTTTCTTTATGGAAAGTCTAAAGCTGTTAACTTCACATCTACTCTCTTTCTCGAAATGGAGTATAATCTACTGAAGTACTATTTTGTTTAGCTCTTGTACTGAGCTTTCAGGGATTTTTTTCGCAACATGACTAAATAGTTGCATTTCCCGGAGAATAATGCAATTCAGTTTCCTGTGAACTTTAGTGTCATTCAAATTTCTTTTATAGCGTTAGGATTGTACATGCTTCGCCCTGTGCAAATGATAAATTCTGAAGTAAAAGTATGTTATTTTTGTATAGGTTGTATGCAGTGAGCTATAGAAGATATTGGACTGTGGGAACCCTTGTTTTACACCAAACAAAAGGAAAACCAGTAATGTTGTGTTCTACTAATTTAAAAAGGTGAGTTCATTTAAACTTTTGCTTTGAGTCTATGTTTTATATTTTAACGTGCTAATACATGAGCACTCTTTGTTGGTTTGTAAGGTGAGATATTGAAGTTTCTAATCTATGATTATGTTTTGTACTATTTTAGTGAGTTACTATGTGATCAGACATTAAATTCCTCTTCTAATGAGAAAAATTTGTGCTTTGTGACCCGATAAGTGTTGGATTATATTATTAACCATGGGGTTTAGACATAATATTATATTTTATTCTTTATGGAACAATTGTTTATTTAATTTATTCAATTCAATAAAGTACTATTTTTAATAGATCATTTGTTACATGTGTGTCCTTTTAGTTATGTAGTAGACAATTTAGTGTATGGAGTCTTAACTCATGCACAAAAGATTAAATTGTTGATTCTCATAATTAATAAGCTATGTTTACAATCAAAGATTTTGTTGGACAAAATATCTTGATGATTGTAGCACAAGATTATCGTATAATTTATCTTGATTATGGGAGTAGTTTTACTCCAACTTCTTGTGCTAGTATACTCAGTGTATATTGAACGGACCAAGTAGAGAAAAGATATTTTTGTACTGAATAAATAGAACATTTTCTCTAATTCATTAAATGAGCTTATACTCCAAATCTTGATATAATTATTATGATCAATGTAATTTGTGTATTGTTTTGATTTATCAAAAGGTACAACTCTATTTAGAGTTAGTATATGCCTAATAGATTGGACAATAACGAATAATATTTGTGAATAATAATTAGTTGATAGAATCCATGTCTCGATTTTGGGTTTGATGATACCCCTTTATGTAAGCTTATAAGTTTTCATGTGAAAACTCGGCTGGTGGATTTTGTATCCGTCATATGAAATAGTTTAAGCGGAATTATAAAGGATTTAATTAGTTAATTGAATTAAATTTTCAGTGATTTAACTTAATTAACTGTTATTTGAAATCTTAACATGGGGAGTTAAGATAAGTGTTAATGAATTTTCGAAATTCATATTGAGGAGTTCAATTGCAGTTTTTTAGTGGAATAAATTGCAATTAATTATAGTAAGAATTAATTGATGCTAATTTCGAATTAATACTATAATTAGTAGCCTCTTATTATTTCTGTGGTCCCTGCTATACCTAGTAAAAACCTGGACAGACTTGGGTAAAAAGTAGCTTGGGAGAAAAGTTATCCTTTTGAGTTAGAGTAGGATTCTACTTGCAGAATCCTACACGTTTTTGAGCCCCTATTGTGGCTTAATTTCGGGTCTATTAAAGGAGGACTAGTTTCGCCTAATAACATACCTTTCAGTTGTATTGTTCTTGCCCACCCAATAGCAAAATCGTCCAAGGTTTTACTAGGCAAATAGCAGAAGACTGCAACCCTAGATTCTTGTTGCTTGGAAGGTTTGTGCAACTACTTCAAGAGGTTAGTGCTTCTAATATCGTTATTATTGCGTTGTCTAGTTTACATGTATTTGATGCCTGGTTTGTTTGCTTGCTTCCGTTGCGCATGGTCTAACAATTGGTATCAGACATCGTCTTACATCTAACTAGATAATGTAATACATCATGCATAGAGTAATATTAAAACGTGTTATTTATTGATACATGTTTGGGATGATTATTCTATGTTAAAAACGTGATTGTGTTTATTAGTATTTTAATTTTGTAATTCTGAAATAATGAATTAAGATACACATGTATAAACAGTGGTGTTATATTTAAATAACAATCTGTTTAAATTACGTTTTTTGTTAAATAGCAATTTTTTTGATAAAAACGTGACTGTGTTTTTGAATGCTATTAATTCTGTAATTATGGGTCAATATACATATGCATAAACAGTAAATTAATACCATTAATATAATTTAGTTGCGTTATGTCCATAATCAAAGTGTTATATTAATAAAAACTTGACTGTTTTGTATGATTATAGTTATGTAATTTTGGATTAATATACAGAATTATGAACAGTGCCGTTTTTGACTAGTGAAAACATATTGTTTTTACAATTCTGTCTAAACACCTTTTTATTAAATAAAATAAAAAATTATTTTGAGTTCTGAAATCATGTGTTAACAAACATAAATATATTATGTAATTTGAACAAGTCAAAATAATTAAAAACCCTTAAAACGCCAAAAATAGAATTCTAGAAATTTTAGAATTCTGAAATTCTATCGAACTTCGATTGACCTCAAATATGGTAGGTTCATCGGAAACAACCCAACTTAAAAAACTCATAGTTTTGCTGATGATGTACATCGTTTTTTGGGCATTCGGGGTCGTTTAGATGGAGTTTTGGCCTTTTTTTTTTATTTTCTGGATTTGTTTTAATAAAAAAAATATTAATAGAAATCTGTGATGGTAGGGTTCAATTCCCATTGTTTCCAATCATGTTTTACAGTAATATAATGAATTTATATGTTTACATAGGTCTTCTTACATATCGGATAAATTCATTATAGATGATTACTGTAGTTTTGCCTCTAGTTATTTCATTACTTGTATTAACTCTCCAACTGAGTTACATGTTGATTGAATGAAACTAAAGTTTATAAAAGTGATATTTACCTATCTTAAATTAACAGTTTACTCTCCATCTGAGTTGGTCCTGTTTAAATTTATGGGGTTAATATCTTACATCACTCATATATTTTGCATGAATAGTTAAGTTTCCCTAACGAATCTAACTATTCAATGAACATGGTTATATGTGTAATGTGTTGTTTTGAATTTAATCATTCTAAATACATAACTAATGATCTATTTAATGTGAATATCTCTCAGATTAACCATGTCTTCATTCAACCCACTTACCCCAATTTTGAACCAAAACAAGTAAGAAGGACCGAATTATGTTGACTGCCAAAGGAACCTTGATATTGTCTTAACTGCTGAAGGTTACAAATTTGTAATCGCTGAGGAGTGCCCAGAAAAACCTGAAAATGCTACTGATAATCAGCTTAAGGCCTATGATAAATGGGTTAAGGCTGATGAGATGGCGCGATGTTACATCCTTGCCTCTATGGAGAATGTTTTGCAATATCAGCATCAGTCTATGGGGTCTTCTTATGATATGCTCGAAAATCTCAAAGAGATGTTCGGTGAGCAAAATCGTGCAGCTAAGCAGACAGCCATGAAAGCCCTTTTAAACACCAAGATGGCTGAAGGATCATCGGTCAGGGACCATGTTCTGAAGATGATGAGTCGTCTGAATGAACTGGAGGTCTTTGGAGCTGTGATTGATAAGGAGTCTCAAGTTGAGATGGTCCTGCAGACTCTTCCTAACAGTTTTCAACAGTTTCGCTTGAACTATAATATGAACAAAATGGATTTGTCACTAGCGAAATTGTTGAATAAGCTGCAAGCGGCATGATCTATTATCAAACAACAAGCTCCAGTTGTGCCACTCAATCTTGAGAAAGCTTCGGTTTCTAAATCAAAAAACAATAAGAAAAAGAAGAAGGCTCAAAAGGTTCTGGCACTTGGTGGCCCGGCTGGTGTGAAAAAGCCCAAAGGCAAGTGTTATTATTGAAGCAACCTGGGCATCACAAGAAGCAATGCCTGCCTATCTGGCAAAGTTGAATAATCAAGGTAATTCAAATTTAAATGTCGTTGAAACTTGTTTAGTGGTTGTTTCTACCATGTTTTGGTATGTAGATTCGGGAGCCACTAATCACATCTACACTACTTTGCAGAAGGTTTAGGAAATACGGCGCCTAAGTGAGAATGAAGTTTGCGTTTTTTAAGCCAATGGCGAGCCAACACCAGCTTTAGCTTTAGGATATATTAGAGTTTCATTTAGTAGTGATAGAGTTTTAGCTTTAAAAGATGTTGTCTATGTACCTTCTATTAGAAGGAATTTGATTTTGGTTTCGAAAATAAAGGATGCTGGTTATAATGTTTATTTTGCTAATAACTCTGCTATTATTAAGCTTAATAAAAGTTTTATCTACACTGCACAAGGCCTTTTTATTCTTGATTGTAACGACCCGACCAGTCGTTTTGAGCTTTTGCACTTTGATCACCAGTTCTCGGGCATGACTTGCCCCGTGTGATTTAATATGACTTATGTAAATCGTTGGTTTTGATTTTCAGGGTAATCAGAATGAATTTGGGAGAACACTTCCCAGTTTAAAGCTTAAAAATTTGAAAGGTTTGACCAAGGTTTGACTTGTTTGTGTATGATCTCCGATCAGAATTTTTATGATTTGGTTAGCTCCGTTATGTGATTTTGGACTTAGGAGCATGATCAGAATGCATTTTGGAAGTCTGTGGAAGGTTTAGGCTTGAATTGACAAAAGTGAGATTTCGGCGTTTTCCGGTGGATCGGTGAGATTTTGATATAAAGGTCGGAATGGAATTCCAAGAGTTTTTGTAGCTTCATTATGTCATTTGGTATGTGTGTGCAAAAGTTGAGGTCATTCGGACGTGGTTTGGTTGGGTTTTTGATCAAAAGCGTATTTCGGAAGTTTTTAGAAAACTTAGGCTTGAATCCGATGTGTTTTGAGTGATTTGATGTTGTTTGAGGTATTTTGATGATTGGAAAAAGTTTGAATAAGGTTTTAGGAAGTGTTGGTGCTTTTGGTTGAGGTCCCGGAGGCCTCGGGTGAGTTTCGGATAGTCAATCGGACCATTTTTGGTAATTGGGAGTTGCAGAATTGGGAGTTCAGGTGTTGCAGAAATTACCTCTTCGCGTTCGCGTGGGGAGCCTCGTGTTCGCGTAGAAGAAATGTAGTAAGGCCAAAATTTAGCATTCGCGTCCGCGTGAGAGGCTTCGCGTTCGCGGAAGGTTAAGAAGCTGTGCATCGCGTTCGCGAGAAGGCACTCGCGATCGCGTAGAGGAAGTGAGTTAGATGGGGTCTAAGGTAATTTGTGCATCGCGTTCGCGTTCGCGTAAGGTTATTTCATCTGGTCATCGTGTTCGCAGGGTGTTGGTCGCGTTCACATAGTGTTTTTTTGAGGTCTTGAATATTTGCTCTTCGCGATCGCGAGGCTTGTGCCGCGATCGCGATGAAGGAACGAGCAGTGTTGGGCAGAAAGTTTTTAAGTTACTTCATCCGCGATTTTGGGTGATTTTTCCTCCATAGTTGATCATTTTGAGAGCTTTTTGAGGGAGATTAAAGAGAGATTCAAGGGGAATCAATTGGAGGTAAGATTTTTGAACCTAAAACGTGATTATATTGTGAAATCTACCTAGAAAATCATGGAACTTAAGTTAAAAATGGAAGAACTAGGGCTTGAGATTTTGAACTTTTGAATTGGCATTTGAAAGACCATTTGAGGTCGGACTTGAGGACTTTTGATATGTATGAACTCGTGGGGTGATAAGGAATCTAATGATGTGAAAAATTTCTAAGTTTCTTGAAGTGGGCCCGGGGCTCGGGTTTTGGTAATTTCGGGATTTGTGCATGTTATTGATTGTTTTCTCTTGGGTTTTGTTCGCTTAGCATATTGTGACGTATTCGTTCTGATTTTGGATAGATTCGACGCGTGTGGAGGCCGATTCGAGGGGCAGAGGCATCGCGAGCTAGAGTTGTAGCCGGTTCGAGGTAAGTAATGATTGTAAATACTGTCCTGAGGATTTGAAACCCCGGATTACACATCGCTATGTTACTTTGAGGTGACGTACACGCTAGATGATGAGCGTGGGGTAGAGTACCGCTGGGGATTGTGACCTAGTTCATCCCGAACGATTATTTTAATGCGTATTTGATAGTTAATTGTTTGATGTTATTATATTTTGGGTTGTATGCCATGTTCGGGGCCTTGTGCCGACTTGTTGAGACCCTTAGAGGCATTTTTACTGTCTTTCCTCACTCTATTTGTTTGAAAACACATCCTCAGTCATGTTTTACCTATTTATTACTCAAATCTGGCTTTATCATTATATTCTTAAAAATGTGAAAACTGTTTTGGGCTGAGTTCCCTGTTTTACTAAGATAGACCGAGAGTCTGATGGTGAGGTTAATGACTGAGAGAGGTCGAGGGCCTAGTTGTAAGGATTATATATCTATGGATCGGGCTGCACGCCGCATCAATATATATATATGAATATGGATCGGGCTGCACGCCGCAACAATGCTTATATGGGTCGGGCTGCACGCCGCAACAATATTGCGCTTGGGCCGTAAGGGGCCCCTCCCGGAGTCTGCATACCCCCAGTGAGTGTCATCGACAAAATATATGGATCGGGCTACATGCCGCAACAGTTATTACATGGTACCTATTGAGCGTGAATGCTGAGTGTGAGTATTGATTGGTAAGAGTTGAGTCACGAGTAACAGAGAGGCTAGCCCGAAGGGCGATAGATATATACATGTATATGAGTGATGCTTTGCCTGAGAGGCGTGTTTATGAACTTATTGATTTCACTCCTCTATAAAATGAGTTTCTATCGAATATGTTGATTTAGTGACTGTTTTCACTCATTTTTATATTGAGCCTCTACCGATATGTTAAACTAATGTTTTAAAAAAACTTTTATTTAAACTGGGGTTTATGAGACGTTTAGAATTTTATCACTGATTTGGCATTGGTTATTTCCACTGAGAATTTCAAGTTATGAGGTGTTTATGATTGCGATTTTTCCCGAGGGGCCGATTATAGTTTTCATCTTTTTATTACAAATGATATTGAACCCCTGCTAAAATTGCCGGAAGGTATTTTAAATGATTTTTACCAAAAAGCTGAACTTAAAATGAGACGATTGACTCGTATTATGATTTGAAAGTCTATTGTGCTTATTGAGTCTAATGTAAAAATGTGGATTCATTGTTTTCTACTGCTCAGTGTGAGCACGTGATTTTTGCCTTACGAAAACTACTCCAAAATAAATCAAAAAATAAATTAAATTTCTTTTACTGTGTAATTTTTTGAATTTGCGTGGTGTTAAATATTTGTGTTATGTCCATAAATGTTTACTTTGTCATAATGAAATGAAAATTAAAATAAAATACATGTTGCATGCATATAGGAGTTAATTATGCATTTGAAAGATAATTTAAATAAAATCACCAAAAATATGCATTCGTTCTATTTTTAAATGTGTCGTTATGTGATTAATGTTTTATCTACGTGTTAATGGTTATTAAAAGATAATTAGTATTATTATAATGATAATTTTGTTTTTATAATTTTTGATTAGGATTTTATTAATTAATAATAAAATAGAATAAAATAAAATAAGTTGTAAAATAAAAATTGGACCTGGATTAAAATCCAGGCCCAAATCAAATTACCCCCCCCCCCCACAGCCCAATCCAAACAGCCTGTCCGGTCCAATTCAAAGCCAAGACCAAACGACGACGTTTGGTCACACTNTATCATGTTTGTTTGCAAATCAGTGAATTCAAATGTATGATGCGTATATATTGTTTTCTGAACAGGGCATTGTCAGTATATTGACAATGCTCCTGTGTATGTTTGATCTTGATTCAATGTTTAAGTCCAGTCTGAATTGTTATAATGATTTCAGTGATATGTTGTTATGTTGTTAGTTTTGAATTCACTGTGATTTTACAAGTGTTGATTAAATGTAATTGTGTTAGAAAGTTACATCCTTAGTTAAGATTCAGTCCAAAACTTTAGGATTGGTTATAGCTGCTTAAACAGATTTTAAAATCTGTATTGTTAGATTCTGAATTTAAGGCAGTAATTACAGTAGGAAATCTGGGACATTTTTTGGGACAGAATAGTGAGGGTAATGTGATAGAATAAGTGGACTGAAAGTGGAATGTTGGTTGGCTATAATTTAAGATACTAATGGGAAACAAAGGGTAATGGGCTGCTGAAAAATCAGGATAAGAGCACTTAGATTTAAAGTATTCAAAAGCAGTTTTAATGAAAAACTTTCTGATTTTTAAAAGGAGAAAAGGGTCCAGGCAGCACTAAAAGGGTATAGGACAACCCTGTATAAATAGAGGGGGATTGGGACTGATTTAAGGGGGGCTCTTTCAGAAAGAAAAACAAGGAAAGAGAGAGCTTTCAGAGCAGACTTTAGGCAGATTTTAAGAGAGAAAAAGATTAGTCTTTAAGAGAGAAAGAAAGGAGAGAAAGACAGAAAGAAAGAAAGGAGAAGAAAAAATCAGATTTTTTGAGGAGAGTTCAAAAAAAAATAGGAAGAAGAAAACAGAAACAAAAAAAAATATAGTCAGAAACAGGAATCCGAAACAGGAAGAAATTGAAATCTGAAAAAATGTTATCCTTCTAGAATCTGTCTGTTGTTTGTTTTTTTTGTGTGAATATTATTCAGTTTGAATCTGAAATCTTTCCCTCAAGTTTCTGTCACTGTTCATCTGGGTTAACGGGTCTTGTTCAGACTTGCTGTGTTATCGGTATATTCTACTGATTTTGTTACTGCTGTAACTGCTGAAA